AAGTATTAAATCGAATGGGCAGAGAACGAGAATTGCTGCCAATAATAAAAAGAAGAAGAACTGCTTATCTGGGTCATATATTTCTAAATTGCAACTACCAGTTCTTAAAATTTATTATGGAAGGGAAGATAGAAGGAAAACGGGGCATCGGAAGAAAGAAATACTCATGGATTAAAAACATAAGGGATTGGACAAACCTCGATGCACATGCACTCTTTAGAGCCACACAAGATCGAGATGAGTATGCCAGAATTGTCGCCAACATGCACTATTTGGATAGGGCACCATAAGAAGAAAAGAAGGAAACAAAATAAAGGACTCGAAACGGAGCGCTGGCTAATTTTGGACTCTAAGATGTTTTCCAGTGAATAATTAGGTGTAAGTCTCCGGTTTGACAATGAGTTTGAAGTTAAAACGAACAATATACATTGAAAGACCTGTAACCGTGTTTATGCAATTGGATAGAAATTGGATGGATGCATTGAATGGATTTCTAAAAAGAAATCTACAAAGGCTGGGAACATTGATGAAACAAGACTTGCGACAATTACGTTCACGTAAAAAACTAAAAAGAAATCATGCATATTCGAAAAAAATCTTCAAATGAGTTTAGCTGGTAATAAAAACTGAGTTCACAGTTTAGCCGGTGGCCAAACCTTATTCAGGTAGCGCAATAATAGTATAGGGATAAAAAAAGAGGATTTGTCCTATATATGTATGTATATATATGAATATCTATATCAAATGTATATAGAGAAAAACAAGAAGACACAAAAATTTTGTAAAATCATATTATAGGTATATCATATTTAGATATACGGTTTATTTTTGTTGTGTTGTGAAGTTATATTGTTTTGTGAAGAAAAGAGACTTTTTCAATTTTAGATTTACGGTAAATTTTGGACTTTTCAAATTAGGATTTTATTTAAGATTAGTTGAAGGAAATAAAATGTTACATTGAAATATCGATGGTTTGCAATTTGCAAACCATCGAAAACAATAGAAACATGAGAGTATTGAAATCAAATTTAACTAAAGGAAAATCAAATATAACTAAAATCAAAAATCAACAGGGGAATACGGTGACCGAAAAAACTCAAATAATCAAGGAAATACAAACGTTCTATAAGAATCTTTATACATCTACTATACAGAACCCCGAAACAGACCACAGAACAATTCTAAACGTCGGCTCGGAAACCCTCCCTAAAATAACCTCTTCGGAAATTAGACATGCCTTACAGCAAATGAAAAAGAAAAAAGCTCCCGGCGAGGATCGTATAACGTCTGAAATGTTAAAAATGGGCGGCAACATCGTTGTAGAAGTTGCGGAAGTCTTACTGAATAAGTGTCTAACAGAAAAAAGAATACCCAGCCTATGGGAAAACGCCGAAATAATACTTTTACACAAGAAAGGAGACACTACTAATATTGAAAACTACAGACCTATAAGTTTGTTGTCACACTTATACAAATTGTTAACAAGAATAATAACCAACCGCATAACACAAAAACTTGATTTATATCAACCGGTTGAACAGGCGGGATTTAGAAAAGGGTTTGGCGCTAATGATCACTTACAAACCATCAGAACACTAGTAGAAAAAACCACAGAATATAATGTACCTTTACATATGGCATTTATCGACTTTCACAAGGCTTTCGATAGTATTGAGACTTGGTCCTTTTTGTCAGCCCTGAAGGATGCTCGAATAGACTCACGGTACACTACACTCATTAAAAACATTTATGAACAGGCCACATTCCACATCAAAATCAATGAAGACGAAAAAACTGAAAAAATGCGCCTTGATAAAGGTATTAGACAAGGTGATACTATTTCACCAAAGCTTTTTACCTTAGCATTGGAAAATGTATTCAAACAGCTTGACTGGGAGGAAAAAGGTCTAAACATTGATGGTGTACGTTTGAGTCATTTGAGGTTTGCGGATGACATAGTATTATTTAGTACAGATATCAAGGAACTGGAGCAAATGTTGAAGGAATTAAACCAGCAGTCAAATAAAATAGGTCTCAAAATGAACCTTCAGAAAACAAAAATAATGAGTAATTTACAAACTAATCTTGTTATTGACAACGTCAGTCTTGAAAATGTAGACCACTATATATATAATATATATATATATATATAATATATATAATATATATATATATATATATATATATATATATATATCTTGGACATACCATTAAAATCGGCAAAGAAAATCAAATAGCCGAAATAAAAAGACGCATAGAACTGTCTTGGGGAGCTTTCGGCAATTCGGCAAATTAAGCTTTATTTTGAAGAATAAAGATATACCAATGTGTCTAAAACGTAGAGTTTACGACAAATGTATCTTGCCTGTAACTACATATGGACTGGAGACCATGGCCTTCACAAAGAAAACCTTAGAGCAGCTCAGTACAACCCAAAGAGCAATGGAGAGGGCCATGCTAGGGATTAGTTTGAGAGACAGGTTTCGAAATAACGTCATTCGTGAAAGAACAAAAATTACTGATGTCTCAGAACGTATAGCAAGGCTCAAGTGGCAATGGGTCGGACACGTTGCCCGAGATAATCCCGAAAAATGGACACACAGATTAACAAACTGGAGACCAAGAGAGAACAGGCGAGGAGTAGGCAGACCGCAGAAGAGGTGGACAGACGATATCAAACAAGTCGCGGGCAAGCAGTGGATGAGAATTGCCAAAAGTAGAAATCGATGGAAGCAAATGGAAGAGGCCTATGTCCAGCAGTGGACGAACACAGGCTGAAGAAGAAGAAGATTGAAATATCAAATCTCACTGCATTTTTCAAGGATTAATTTCAGTTACCATGAAACAAGTCATTAAGGGTAGAAAGTAGAAAGTCTTTGTCTGATATTTTTGTAAAAACTTTTGGGAATTGGAAAGTGTTAGCGTTTTTGGAGAATTGAGTCGAGGATGTCGAAGGGATTTAGCAGCAAGAATGATTTTGGAAGAAAAAAAGGTAATGATCTGCTATTTGGACGGGAAGGAGAAAAGATCAAATCGACAAGTGTGTGTTAGTTTTTAAACTTGATATAAAAAATAATGCTAAAAATATAGATTTTGTGAAAATAGTAGTGACAGTAAGTTTGGAAAGCTGATTTACCGGATGAAAAAGATGCAGAATTTGTAAGTACCAATGCATTATTATTCCCGGAGAGATTCGCAGATAAGAGCAAGCCCAAAAGGACATAAAAACGTGAGTCAGGACGTTTGTTTTTGATCGACTTCTTCTTCAAGTTCCACTCCTATCGGAGATTGGAAATCATTCTGGCAATTATAATTTTATTGGTTACTCGCCTGAATAGTTCAATTGAACTGCATCCAAACCACTCACGGAGATTGCGTAGCCACGAGATTTTACGTCTTCCTACGCTTCTTCTACCTTTGATTTTACCCTGCATTATATTCCTTAGTAGTTCGTACTTTTCACCTCTCATGATGTGCCCCAAGTATTCCAATTTCCTGATCTTTATGGAATTTAAAACTTCGCATTGTTTTCCTAGTTGTTCGAGAACTTGTTCGTTTGTTTTGCGATCCATCCATGATATTTTCAAAATGCGTCGGTAACACCACATTTCGAATGCTTCTAGGTTTTTAATGTTGGATTTTTTAAGTGTCCAAGTTTTGATCGACAGGACTGTTTTTATAAGCAGAATCAGGGAAGGAGTTTTTCGATAAAGAATCAATTAATGTGAATCATTTTCATAAAGTGCAGAGAAAAATTTCTTGAGACGATAGAATAGATTGGACTAATTTTTATATTGTAATTTTATATGTGAAAGCTCTACGTTTTGGGAAACATTTGTTTCTAAGGGATTTCATTATCTATATAAACAGTTTAAAATGATTATTTTACTATTATATTTTAATTGTATTGCACAAATTTGAGTTTTTTTTTATTTATTCCTTTTACTCCTCTTCTTATTGAACACTATTGAAGAAAAAGGTATTTTTTGAACTCTAATAGGAGCCCTGTTTTATCCTATTTCAAAATTACAATATCATTTCTAGGACGCTACCCGTGACACGCTGTAGAGAGAAAAAAGTATAGTAGTTTCGCTTCAAAAACACAAAAGAAATCAAAATGCAATAAAGAGGATAAGATACAAATTGCTTCAAAAGGAAGCTAATTAACTTGAAATTTCAATTTGGATAAATGACGTTCCAATGATAACTCAATTTATTAACCACTGAACAGACAATTACGTCAGTTTTATATGTATGTAGTCTGTCTGAAAGAACGTTTTCTGTCTGAAAATGTGAATATTAAATAGTTTGAGAAAATAAAATATTTTAAAATATATTTGCTACATCAAATACCTATTCATGTTTCCAGAACATCGAGACCTTTAGAATTATATTAATTTGATAACGGTGATGTACCTAATTAACATATTTAAAAGCTACTATTATATTAAAACTGACTCTTCTAACTTCTTTTATTAAAGTGAATGGAAATTAAGAAATAAAAAATATATTAATGACCTTTTTATAATCAATAAGTTGACCCTTCTTAAAACATTTAAATAATCTTAAAACACACGTTCCACAGCTGCGAAATAGCTGTCGTGCATATAATTTAAATGTTTTATAGGATATTTTATTTTTCTTATACAAGTAAAAAATATAATAATGATAACGTTCGTATCTTCATAAAATAAAAAGGGCGTTAACTCATGAATGACCTGAACTTCAATAATAGTGAATTGATTATTTGTATTTTAAACTTATCATGTCTAGGTTTTATTTACATAACTGATAAAAAAGGCTTTTATCTCTCCATTAATAAAATATTCCACACATTTAACAAACTCCTAATAGGTATATAATAAAAGAAAAATATGCAATAGGACCGTTTTAAACTAAAAAATACCTCGTGTCAAACTACCATCAAGTCAAGCCATATGTTTTTGAAACAAAGACAGGAATTTTTGAAATTTCATGAATTAAAAGTCGTAAAGTCTTACCAGGTCCTCTTTCCGGTAGATCTTCAGACACATCTTGTTGATATTTATTCTGTCTTCTACCCATTTTTAATGAAATATAAACAAAATCCTAGAATAGCACTACAAGATATCAAATGTGCGCATACAGCCTTAAAATAGCGTACACATACAAGGAGAGTTTTGTTAAAAGAGACATGAGGTAGGTATGTATCTAGCCTCTCACCCAGTCCCGGTACCACCTTTCAATGAGTAGATACCCCACGCAGCGTTGTCAGATTGTAAAAAAGAATTACATGAATATAGGAATTCATGAACTATAGAACTTAATAATATAGGAATTCATGAACTATTTTAACAGTTAAATTTTTAATACTTTATTTATTAAATACTGCAACTAGCATAATAGAAACATTGCTTATAAAATTTAATATTTCTGTCAAATGTCTTTTTTCTAACGTGTTACTAAATAGAATAGTTGTTATTCAGATGCATGTTGGGGTGTTTTTCAATGGTATGTGTCTTCAATCTGATGCTAGAAAAGTCATAACGAGACATATCTGTTGATATTCACTATCATATATAGCATTTTGTCGCTAACATTGTTCAATGTTTACTCGGACCAGTTACTTAAAAACGCACTTGAGAGACAACCATATGGAATAAAAATTCAACGGGGAACTACTTAATGTAATAAGATATGCAAACGATATAGTAGTTCTGTCAGATAATATTGAAGGTCTCCAAATTCTGCTTGATGGTATTCACGAGGTATAAAATGAGCATTAAAATAAACTCAAGCAAAACCAAATTTTAAGTGTTTAGTCGTGGCCCACATCTCGATGCAAAGCTTCAATTAAACGGACTCCAAGTTTAAAAATGTCATAAAATGACATATTTGGGAACTGTGATAACGGACCAACTAGATCCAGACATAGAAATAAAACGTAGAATAGCAATGACTAAAACTACTTTTATGAAAATTAAGACATTTCTTTGAAATAATCATCTCAGTTTGAAACTAAGACAAAGAATGGTTAAGTGCTATGTTTGTTCCGTACTTTTGTATAGTGCACAAGTGGGGACGCTAAAAGTATAGATCATGAACAAAATTGAAGCATTGGAAATGTGGGTTCATAAACGAAAGCTGAAGATACCTTAGACAGAAAGGAAAACTAATGAAGAAGTACTAAAAAGCGTCAACAAAGATAGATAACTACTAACTAAAGACTTTTAAAACATCGAAAAATGTCTTATATGGGATATATAGTACAGGGATATATAGTAGTAGAAGAAGATATAGCATATATAGGTCATTATGTGGTGGTTTTTGTGAGATATTCCTAATATTTTTGGATTTAAGCGTTCGTAGTATTTTTGAGCTGTAGATGTCGAGATGGATATTCGTTATCATTAAATAAGTAAGAATCTTCTATTGTTTACTTATTAGACAAAATTAGTGTGTTAGTCACATTCAGAAATTCCGCATCCAACTAAAACTTTGTAAGCAAATCACCTCAAAAATTTTCTTCGCCCATTACAATGACACGATTTTTTACAAAATGCCTTCGTCTCAAAGCCCTGCAACATGCACAGGAGTTCTTTCGAGCTGAAGCTGGACAACTGCTTTGAATGATACTTCAAAAACGACGAACCATCTTTCAATTAGAAACACCATTTCTGCATTGAACGGGTTGTACCAAAATATTATCCTATTTTGTTTCAAAACACGAGATCTTGTAGTTTTTGGAAAATTAGTATAATGGATAACATTTTGCCTCTCTTATCGTTCTATAAATCGTTGCCAGGATAACATTTTGATCTTTAAACAACTTAATAATTTCGATGTTGGGCAACCGTCCAAAACAACGACAAATACTTGCGAATTTCAATGTTGTACATTGTAAATTTATTTATTGAATAAATTTGACATTTATCAACAAAAAGCCATGACTTGTTTACTGTTGTTATAGGCACTAGATCAGATAACAAAATCGAGAGGAAATTTTATTGCATTTTTTTCTCAAATTTTATATATGTTACCCACACGTTAATATGAAAAATAAAATTTAAACTAAAAAAATAGAGTTCTACAGATACCATTTGTTAAAATCAAACTAAAAGGAGATTAATAGGAAGAATTATTTTAGATTTTGTGGGATTTTTACAGCAATGGAACTGATAAACAGTTACAAATCTTTAATTCGAACTCAAATTATGGCTCAATTGTTTACAATTCAGAGACTCAAGATTAAAACAGAATATGGTGCAAAATATTGCACTAAGAATATTTCTAGGGGCTTATAGATCTAGCCTTGTTAAAAGTTTATATAGCGAAGCTAATATTTCTCCACTCTCGATGAGGATACTATCTAAATCTATAGTACGTAACCAAACTTTTAGCTAACAACACCAACGTTCCTATGCCTTTAATACACGTTTCCACGCTGAATTTAATCAAAATCATAATCTTAGCTATCATTTGTAAACGAATTAACTGCTTTCAATTTGCTAAAGTAATACATAATAGTATTTACCTGCTTAGACAATTAAAATCCCATATTGCAATATACATTTGGCCAATCTCTTCAAAAGTAACACCCCTTCATCTACCTACTAGCTCTCTTATGAGAAAAATATACTTCCAGCCATTTTGTTTATACAGATTCAAAATTTCTGAATATGAAATAATTGGGAACCGAGAATATAACAGAGATAACTACCCAGAAATTTCAATTACTTAATGAATACTCAATATTTCGGCGAACATTTTGCGACTGCCAAAGCGATGAAACAAATTGTTAATCCAAATATCACATCAGTAATCTGCAAGTTCAATTACAAGTATAAAAAAAAATCTATCAAAATATTCCTATATTAAACCAGTTTAAAAAAGATCTTACGGCGATATAAAACATGAAACAAAAAAGTTTTGACATACAATCACCTGGATTGTTTACGGCTAAAGAAGCTTGCAGACTAGAAATACTTGACGCGACGGTTATCGAATTTCAAAATCTAACGCTATAAACTTGGAACAAAACTTCTCAAAAAAAAAGCAGGGTAACAAAGATGGTAGAAACAAAAAAAAAGCAAACTCCAAAAAATTAATCTGGGATTACATATTCAATTAATTGTCTAAAACGTAGGGAGCGGGTAAGAATATATCGCATGAAGAGAGGACGTGCTAAAATAGCATACTAAACCACCATAACTGTGCATTTTGTTGTAGACTGTCCAATGTTCCAGATTGAAAAAGAGGCGAGAAATTTATCTTGTGAACTTAACTGCGCGTTGTGGATGGTAAAAGATAGACTCTTTAATTCTAACTGCAACTGTAATCTCACCTGTATAACCTATAAACCACTGTATAATAGTATAACCACTAATAACCTATTATGGTTGATGTGTATATCTCAATTATTTATATCTTCTGTAAGTACTACCCTTACATTACAGTACATTCCCTTAAATTTTCAACCATGACACTTGCCTTCTTCCAATACTCTGTTTCTCCAAAATCTTTCCCTGTATGATCAATCTGAGGTTTTCATATCACTGTCCCCTCATTACATGTTTCAGATATTGCAACTTTCTCATTCTTATTGTGTGTATTATTTCATAATCTTTGCCCATCTCCTGCAATACTTCCGTGTTTGTTTTTATGCGTCCATGCTATTCTAAGCATCTTTCTGTAACAGCACACTTCAAATGACTAATATACTGTGGCATAATACAATTTAAACATATTGAAACATATTCTATTGCTAATATTAGGTATTGTTCCAAAAATAGATTTTTAATTAACAGTACACACTACTGATGCAAATGATCTAAGCGAATTAATGAGCATAGTTGTAAAATGAAACATAATTTTTATCGCCTTCGGGAAGTGGCACAGTAAATATGATGCAACTCTTGTAGTTTTATATACCTAAAGTTCTCGAGAAAAGTAATTATTATACTAATAACAATATCCACTTTTATATTAAGTATGTGAACAAACAATGACTCAAGGGAGATAAGAAAACACGTTACAGAGTCACTTACAGAGAACTTAATAAACATCTCATTAAAAGTTGCAACAAAGATCAAAACAAATAATATAAACAGTTTTTTTTCCTAGAAGTCCAACAATAATGCTTCGGCGCAGACAAATAATTGAAAAATCAATTACATACAATAAACTGCCCTAAATGTGTTTTATTGATATGGTAAAAACGTTTGAAGGTGCCCAATGCAAAGATCCTCGTTATACCTTCCTTACAATAGAGAATTACCGTACACATTTATCAAGACTATCTTCTTCATAACACGTTTAGCCCCATGTGCACCAGACTGATGCACAGCTTTTTTTACTACGGACCGTGCGTACCGATTTTGCTCACAGTATTATTGTGTCTGCTGTCCCAGCCAATCCAGATTTGAATATTAGAACAACAAAATACAATCTGGTAAGTTCTTCCGGGGTTCTTCCACTATTTCTATAATGGCTATATTTATTGTGGTAAGGATAGTGATGTTTTTTCTCTAACAAATGACGAGAGAGGTTTCATGAAACCAACACAAGCGGTGTTGAGACTGTGTCATCTAATTGCTAATTTACACCGAAATTTCATAGCAGACAATTTGTTTTCATCCATAGAAATTAAGGATGCATTAAAAAATGAGGACTGGCCTATGTTGGCACGCCCAAGCGAAACAAAAAGGAAATACCTATGCAACTCCTTCCAAGTCGGAGCAGAAGTGAAGGATCTTCCATTTATGGTTTTACAAATAACTACACTATAATTTCCTACGTTCACAAAAAAATGAGGCAGTTGTGTTAATATCATCAATGCACCATACCGAATGTTAGGACATGAATCTGGTAAATCCGAAATCATTTGCTTCTATAATCAAAGAAAAGACGGTGTGGATGCACTAGATCAAAAATGTACCACATATTATACTAACCGGCGAACTAGGCGATGTCCAATGACTATTTTTTTTTTTATAATATTGGATATTAAAAATGTCGTGCAGCAAATGTTCCTGACCCATGTGCGACGACTGCAGGGCATATGTTTGCAAGAATTGCATTTAGTA